CCCACCGCTCAGGCTCCACTGGACTGTTTTGGATTGCTAGCTATTGGGGGGGGGGGGATGCGCAGATCTGCCCTCACAGAGGAGGGAGAGCTTGTACCTAAAGGCGGGCGGGGGGGCCTCCTCTGCAACTTACCTGGCTGCTCCTTGCTCCTTGTGGCCCGACTGAGGGCTGCTGGGAGCAGGGGGCGGGGCTTGTTGCATCCGCCCGCCGCTTGAGCTCCTTGCTGCCGGAGCTCCGCTCCTGTGTGCTCCCACAGGAAATGACCCCTGGTGTTAGGGATGCCACAGAGTCCACCCTAAGAAGCAGCCCTTTGCTCCAGGGGACATGATTGCAGTCTTCAAGTGTCTGAAGGGCTGTCATGTAGAAGATGGAGCAGATGTATTCTCTCTTGCTCCGGATTGCAAGACTAGATCTAATGGGTGGAAATTACAAGGGAGTCGATACCGGCTCAATATCAGGAGAAACTTCCTAACGGTAAGAGTGGTTGAGCAGCGAAACAGAATGCCTCGGGAGGTGGTGGATGCTCCTTCACTGGACGTTTTCAAGTGGAGGCTGGACGACCATCTTCCGGGTATGTCGTAGGGTTGTCTTTCGGCTAGGCTCCTGCAGAGTGCAGGGGGTTGGGCTAGATGACCTTCTAGGTCCCTTCCAACTCTAACATTCTATGATTCTATGATCTCTGTCATCCAGAGACCAGCTGTAATTCTGGCAGACCCTAGGCCCCGCCTGGAAGTTGGGTTGCAGGTCTTTGCGGGTTGCAGGTCACCAGCCTCTCATTCTCAACAAACGGAGGGATGATTCGCATCAGGCACTCGGTGCCTCCAAGCTCTGTCCCCCAACCGCTCTGTACCACCAGCCCCTGCAGAGTCTGCCTTTTTCCCTGTTATCAGTCCCACCTCACTCTTCCCCACCCTGCCTGTTTCCAGATGTCGGAGCTGCTGGGCTGCCTGCCAACTCTGATCTTCCTGCTCCTGGCTTTCTGCCTCGACTACTTGCTGTACAACATATTCAGCGCCATCCGACACCATTCCTTTGTGGAGTACTCTTTCCGCAGTGAGTGCGCGACCCCTGGCACCGCGCCCTTCTCTCCCCCGCCCAGGAAGGGAGGCCCGCTCTCCCCCCTTCCGCACAGCCTCCGTCCCTTGAACGACAGCCAAAGATCAGGAAGGTGGGCAGGTAACTCTTTCCAAGCATTGCTCGATCTCTCCGGAACAGCGGGAAACTTCCACACGCTGCCGCGATCCCGATTTGGTTGGCACGGGCCTGATTTAACCCAGACCTGGGGTAGGGTTGCCAGTCTCCAGGTGGGTTACACAAAACGAAATAAATGGGAAACACAGCGCAAGAGCGAAATACACAAACGCACCGCCGTGTGAAAAGGCTTTGCCAAACATCCGCTCAGTAAATCAGCTCCTGTTACCCGAAGAAGTGTTTTGGCTTGTGATAAAGGCAGGGGCGTAGCCAGAAAATTTTGGTTGGTGGGGCGTGGGGAAATCTGGGGGGGGGGCACCTTGGCCGCACCTGCAGCTCCTCTTGCAGTAGCAGAAGAAGCCGCTCCGGCTCCACGGCGACCTCCAGTCCTCCTTTAGTCCTCTCTGAGAGCCAGTTTGGTGTAGTGGTTAAGTGCGCGGACTCTAATCTGGGAGAACCAGGTTTGATTCCCCACTCCTCCACTTGCAGCTGCTGGATGACCTTGGGCAAGCCGTAGTTCTGATAAGAGCTGTTCTCAAGTGCGTGGACTCTAATCTGGGAGAACCGGGTTTGATTCCCCACACCTCCACTTGCAGCTGCTGGATGACCTTGGGCAAGCCATAGTTCTGTCAGAGCTGTTCTCAAGTGCGTGGACTCTAATCTGGGAGAACCTGGTTTGAGTCCCCACTTCTCCACTTGAAGCTGCTGGATGACCTTGGGCAAGTTGTAGTTCTGCCAGAGCTGTTCTCTCAAGGACAGTTCTCTCAGAGCTCTCTCAGCCCCGTCTACCTCACAGGGTGTTGTGGGGAGGGGAAGGGAAAGGAGTTTGTAAGCCGCTCTGAGACTCCGAGTGAAGGGCGGGGTATAAATCCAATCTCTTCTTCTCTCTTCTTCTCTCGATTGGAGAGACTTGATTCTAGGCTGCTTTTCTGTGTAAGCCGGGGAGGGGGGTGGGAATCTCCAACTCTCTCTATTTTATTTTATTTTATTTTATTGCATTGCATTGCATTTTTAAAAACCGATTTATTTTTTGGCCTGGGAAAAAAGAAAAAAATAGACTGAAGCTTCCCTGAATGTGCCTGGGGTTGTTTTGGAACATCTATTTTTTTCTGAGGGGGCAGTGCTCATTTGTAGGGGGCATTGCCCCCCAATGCCCCGGTGGCTATGGGCCTGGATAAAGGCAACAGCCAAAACAAGGAATTACAGGCACTTTCCCCCATGCCAGGTTTGCCAGATCTCTAGCTGCAGAGTTGCCAAGTCTGCTGGGTATTTAGCTGCAGAGTTCCACAGAGGAGCCAAGATTGTCAGACTTCAAGGCGAGATGTATAATAGCCACTGAGCTGACCAGCAGCTTTTCCTATGAAGTTTTCATATTAATATGGTTGCTTGATGGTTGGTTGAAACATTGTACGTCCATTTGCTGAGCTGATTAGCTGCCATTTTCAAGAATTAATAAATAAAGTTTTTATATAACATACAATAAGATTTTTTTTGATGTTTGGCAAAACCTTTCTACACAGTGGTGTGTTCTGTGTCTTAATCTCCAGGTGGGCGCTGGAGTTCTACAGGAATTACACTGGACTAATGAGATCAGTTCCCTTGGAGAAAATTGCAATTTTGGATGTTGGACACTATGGTATCACTGTAGGGTTGCCAGATCCTACTGGCTACCAACAGGGAATGGGGTGGTTGGGGTTTCCAGATCCAGGTGGGGAAACTCCTGGAGATTTGGGGATGGAGCCTGGGGAGGACAGGGGACCTCAGTGGGGCACAGTGCCATGGAGGCCTCGGCCTCTCTGCCCTGCTGTTGGCCCTTTGGAGGAACTGGTTGAGGCCACTGTGTGAGGCAGGATGCTGGACTGGAGGGACCCTCACTGGTCTGACCCAGCAGGGCTCTTCTGATGTTCTTATGAGGGGAAGGCCTCGGCCTCTCTGCCCTGCTGTTGGCCCTCCGGAGGAAATGGTTGGGGCCACTGTGTGAGACAGGATGCTGGACTAGATGGACCCTCACTGGTCTGATCCAGCAGGGCTCTTCTGATGTTCTTATGAGGGGAAGGCCTCGGCCTCTCTGCCCTGCTGTTGGCCCTCCGGAGGAAATGGTTGGGGCCACTGTGTGAGACAGGATGCTGGACTAGATGGACCCTCACTGGTCTGATCCAGCAGGGCTCTTCTGATGTTCTTATGAGGGGAAGGCCTCGGCCTCTCTGCCCTGCTGTTGGCCCTCCGGAGGAAATGGTTGGGGCCACTGTGTGAGACAGGATGCTGGACTAGATGGACCCTCACTGGTCTGATCCAGCAGGGCTCTTCTGATGTTCTTATGAGGGGAAGGCCTCGGCCTCTCTGCCCTGCTGTTGGCCCTCCGGAGGAAATGGTTGGGGCCACTGTGTGAGACAGGATGCTGGACTAGATGGACCCTCACTGGTCTGATCCAGCAGGGCTCTTCTGATGTTCTTATGAGGGGAAGGCCTCGGCCTCTCTGCCCTGCTGTTGGCCCTCCGGAGGAAATGGTTGGGGCCACTGTGTGAGACAGGATGCTGGACTAGATGGACCCTCACTGGTCTGATCCAGCAGGGCTCTTCTGATGTTCTTATGAGGGGAAGGCCTCGGCCTCTCTGCCCTGCTGTTGGCCCTCCGGAGGAAATGGTTGGGGCCACTGTGTGAGACAGGATGCTGGACTAGAGGGACCCTCACTGGTCTGACCCAGCAGGGGCTCTTCTGATGTTCTTCTGAGGGGAAGGCCTCGGCCTCTCTAGCCTGTTGCTGGTTCCCCAGAGGAACTGGTTGAGGCCACTGTGTGAGGCAGGATGCTGGGCTAGATGGACCCTCACTGGTCTGACCCAGCAGGGCTCTTCTGATGTTCTTATGAGGGGAAGGCCTCGGCCTCTCTGCCCTGTTGTTGGCTCTCAAGAGGAACTGGTTTAGGCCGCTGTGTGAGGCAGGATGCTGGACTAGATGGACCCTTACTGGTCTGATCCAGCAGGGCTCTTCTGATGTTCTTATGAGGGGAAGGCCTCGGCCTCTCTGCCCTGTTGTTGGCCCTCCAGAGGAACTGGTTGAGGCCACTGTGTGAGGCAGGATGCTGGGCTAGATGGACCCTCACTGGTCTGACCCAGCAGGGCTCTTCTGATGTTCTTATGAGGGGAAGGCCTCGGCCTCTCTGCCCTGTTGTTGGCCCTCCAGAGGAACTGGTTGAGGCCACTGTGTGAGGCAGGATGCTGGGCTAGATGGAACTGGTTGAAGACCACTGGGTGAGACAGGATGCTGGACTAGATGGACCCTCACTGGTAGGGCTGCCAAGTGGGGGCGGGTGGCGGGTAAACCCTCGCTTCGGAGGCCCGATTCATGGTGTTCGTAGCCCAGCTTTCTCACGGGGACTCAAGGTGGATTACGCGGAGTGAGTCAGTACAATCTACACAGCAGGACATTCAACAACCAATGCGTTAGGATTACTGAAATCTGGAACCACCAGTAAGAACTAAAGCAAAGCATAAGGCTTCACACAACACATTAAGCAGTTCAGAAATGACGTGCTAGGAACAATGCTCCCTCTAAGCATTGAGTCTTGTGAGCAAAAATTCTGTTTTGTGAGCTACTGGCATTAAAGTTGTGAGCAAGCGATTTGGCCACTGCATAAATTAGTCTGGAGGCCATCCTTCCTAAGCGAAGACAAATATGTGTGAGCTGGAGGCTAAAAAACTGTGAGCTGGCTCACACTAACTCTGCTTAGAGGGAACACTGGCTCGGAATGGATCCTACTTACAATAAGCTATACGCGAGGGTTGCTAGCCAGGTCCCTCCTGGCCCCCGGCAGGGGATGGGGGGTAAGGTTGCCAGATCCAGGTAGGGTGACTCCTGGAGATTTGGGGGTGGAGCCCGGGGAATACAGGGACCTCAGTGGGATACAGTGCCACAGAGTCCACCCCCCCCCCCCAAGCATCCATTTTCTCCAAGGGTCCTAATCTCTGTAGTCCGGAGATAAGAAGAAGAAGAAGAAGAAGAGAAGAGATTGGATTTATTCCCCGCCCTTCACTACCCAAGGGAGTCTCAGAGCGGCTTACAAACTCCTTTTCCCTTCCCCTCCCCACAACAGACACCCTGCGAGGTAGGCGGTGGGGCTGAGAGAGCTCTTGACGGAAACTGCTCTTTTTCAAGGACAGCTCTTATCAGAACTACGGCTTCCCCAAGGTCATCCAGCCAGGTGCAAGTGGAGGAGGTGGGGAATCAAACCCGGCTCTCCCAGATTAGAGTCCGCGCACTTAACCACTACACCAAACTGGCAAAGATGTAATTCCAGGTCTCCGGGTCCCACCTGGAGGCTGGCATCCCTACTATGCACAGCAGTACAGCCCACAAGTCCTTCAACATTTGTCCAAGTAAGGTTGTGAACCGTTTTGTAAAGGGGAACTCTGTGGCCTGTGCGGAAAGCCCCTGTGGAATAATTCAGTTGAGCCCTGTGGACGATGTGAGGAAGGGTTTTTTTTGGGGGGGGGGGTTTCTTGCCTGTGACGACCCCCATCCTTTCTGCAGGCAGCCACCACTTGGAAGTGAACATCGGCGGGGACACGATGATGGCGCGACTCCTCCGTAGCACCATCGGGGCCCTGAATACTTCCTCGGAGATGGCGATGGAGGCCACCAACGTGCGTAAGTGTGGGCAGGGGCGGGCCAGGAGGCGGCTCCCCGAAGGATGGACCCTGCAACCATGAGGGAATGTTTTTCTCTACACTGCTCCAGCCCTCGTGGAACTGGGGGAACTGAGGGTCAGAAGTAAGGTCCCTGAGGCTGGCTGGGGAAATTTCTGGAGGTTTGGGGGTGGAGCCTAGGGAGGGAAGGGGAGGGGACTCAACAGGATATAATGGAGAAGAAGAAGAGATTGGATTTACACCCCGCACTTCACTAGCCAAAGGAGTCTCAGAGCGGATTACAAACTCCTTTCCCTTCTCCCCCCCACAACAGACACCCTGTGAGGCGGGTGGGGCTGAGAGAGCTCTTTCGAGGACTGCTCCTGAGAGAACAGCTCTGAGAGAACCTGTGACTGTCCACCGGTTCTCCCAGATTAGAGTCCGCACTCCTAACCACTACACCACATAAGAACATAAGAGGCGCCAATGTTGGATCAGGCCAAAGGCCCATCCAGTCCAACACTCTGTGTCACACAGTGGCCAGAAATACCAGTGCCATCAGGAGGTCCAGCAGTGGGGCCAGGACATTAGAAGCCCTCCCACTGTTGACCCCCCCCAAGGGGCATTAGACGCCCCCCCCCTGGTGACCCCCCCCCCAAGCACCAAGAAGACAGAGCATCACTTGCCCCAGAGCCCCTAGCTATACCTTGTGGCTAATAGCCACTGATGGACCTCTGCTCCATATGCTTATCTAATTCCCTTTTGAAGCCGTCCATGCTTGTAGCACCCACCACTTCCTGTGGCAGTGAATTCCATGTGTTAATCACTCTTTGGGTGAAGAAGTACTTCCTTTTATCCGTTCTAACCCGACCGCTCTGCAGTTTCATGGAGTGCCCACGAGTTCTTGTATTGTGAGAAAGGGAGAAAAGTACCTCTTTCTTTACCTGCTCTTTCCCATGCATAATCTTATAAACCTCGATCATGTCACCCCTCAGTCGTCTTTTCTCCAAGCTAAAGAGCCCTAAGCGCTTTAACCTTTCCTCATAGGGAAAGTGTTCCAACCCTTTTATCATTCGAGTTGCCCTTTTCTGCACTTTTTCCAAAGCTATAATATCCTTTTTAAGGTGTGGTGACCAGAACTGCACACAGTATTCCAAATGAGGTCTCACCATTGATTTATATAGGGGCATTATTATATTGGCTGATCTGTTTTCAATACCCTTCCTAATAATCCCCAGCATAGCATTGGCCTTCTTTATTGCAGTCACACACTGTCTCGACATTTTCAGTGAGTTATCCACTACAACTCCAAGATCTCTCTCTTGCTCAGTCTCTGCCAGTTCAGACCCCATCAATGTGTATTTATATTTAGGATTTTTGGCTCCAATGTGCATCACCTTGCACTTGGCCACATTGAACCCCATTTGCCATGTTGACGCCCACTCGCCCATCCTTGACAGATCCCCTTGGAGTGCCTCACAATCCTCACTGGTTTTCACCACCCTGAACAACTTTGTATCATCCGCAAATTTAGCCACTTCACTGCTTACTCCCATCTCCAAATCATTAATGAACAAGTTAAAAAGCAGTGGACCAAGTACTGATCCCTGCGGTACCCCACTGCTTACCACCCTCCACTGAGAAAATTGCCCACCTACACTCACTCTCTGTTTTCTATGAACTAGCCAGTTTTTGATCCATAAAAGGACTTGTCCTTCTATCCCATGATTTTTGAGCTTACTTAGGAGCCTTTGATGAGGAACTTTATCAAAAGCTTTCTGGAAGTCAAGGTAAATAATATCTATTGGATCCCCCTTGTCCACATGTTTGTTCACCCCCTCAAAGAACACTAACAGGTTAGTGAGACAAGATCTTCCCTTACAGAAACCGTGCTGAGTCTGCCTCAATAGGTTTTGTTCATCTATGTGCCTACTAATTCTTTCCTTAATAATGGTTTCCACCAATTTACCCGGTATCGACGTCAGACTGACTGGCCTGTAATTTCCCGGATCTCCTCTGGAACCCTTTTTAAAGATGGGAGTGACATTAGCTACCTTCCAATCCTCAGGAATGGAGGCAGATTTTAAGGAAAGATTACATATCTTTGTCAGGAGATCTACAAGTTCACATTTGAGTTCTTTCAGAACTCTCGGATGTATGCCATCTGGGCCTGGTGATTTTTCAGTTTTTAAGTTGTCTATCAGTTTTAGGACCTCCTCTCTCATCACCTCAATCTGACTCAGGTCTTCCAACACCCCTCCTGAAATCAGTGGTTCTGGAGTGGGCAAGCACTTCTCATCTTCCACAGTGAAGACGGAGGCAAAAAATGCATTTAGCTTCTCAGCCATTTCCCTATCATCCTTCAATACTCCTTTTACCCCTTGGTCGTCCAAGGGCCCCACTGCCTCCCTGGCTGGTTTCCTGTTTCTAATGTATTTGAAGAAAGTTTTATTGTTGGTTTTTACGTTTTTTGCTATATGCTCCTCATATTCCCTTTTTGCCTGCCTGACCTCAGACTTGCATTTTATTTGCCATAGCCTGTGTTCCGTTTTATCAGCCTCACTGTGACTAGCTTTCCACTGCTTAAAGGAATTCTTTTTACTTTTTACAGCCTCCATTACTCTGTTTGTTAACCATGCAGGCTTTTTCCTATACCTGTTTGTGCCTTTCCTAACCTGCGGAATATATATTTTTTGAGCTTCTAGGATCGTAGTTTTAAATAGATCCCAAGCTTCCCCAATTGTTTTGACCCTTTCTACTTTTCCTTTCAGTTTCCTCCCCACGTGTCCCCTCATATCAGAGAAATTACCCCTTTTAAAGTTAAAAATGGTTGTGTGAGTCTTTTTGGCCAATTCTCTATTTGTACAAATGATGAACTCAACAACATTATGATCACTGTTTCCAAGCGGTGCAATCACTTTTACATCTCTCACCAGGTCTTGAGTGTTACTTAGGACCAAATCAAGGATCGCCTCTCCCCTGGTAGGTTCCGTGACCATCTGCTCCATAGCACAGTCATTTAGAGTGTCTAGAAACTCAATCTCTTTTTCCCGACTAGAACACATATTGACCCAATCAATGTGTGGGTAGTTAAAATCACCTATTATTACACAGTGTTTTTGTCTAGTTGCTATCTTTAAGGCATTCATCATTTTATAATCCTCCTCTATCTTTTGATCTGGTGGGCGATAACAAACTCCCAGTGTTAAGTTTCCTTTTGGCCCCCCTATTTCAACCCATAGAACTTCCAGAAGCGAATCCAATTCACTTAGCCTCTCAATCTTTCTAGACTTTATACCCTCTCTGACATACAGAGCTACCCCACCTCCAACCCTTCCCCCCCTATCCTTCCGATATAATATATAACCGGGAATCACTGTGTCCCACTGATTTTCCTCATCCCACCAAGTTTCAGAAATACCCACAATGTCTATTTTTCCCTCCGACACCAAGCACTCCAACTCCCCGATTTTACCTCGGACACTTCTAGCATTTGTATAGAAACAGCTGTAATTTCCCTTACAAGTTAAGCCTGCATCCTTCCTCTTGCTATCTCGAGTCGTTGTCCGGCAGTCCATGTCACCAGCCATGGCCTCTGTGGACAATTTCAATCCACCTCCCTGTAGAAAAGCAACCGGTACCCCCTCACCTCTCTCAGATGAGCCAACCCGAACCAGAGACTTTTCATCTCCTGTCGGCTTTCCCCCAATATTCAGTTTAAAAGCTGCTCTGCCACCTTTTTGATTTTAAGTGCCAGCAGCCTGGTTCCTTCTCGGGACAAGTGGAGACCGTCTCGCCTGTACAGCTCCCTCTTGTTCCAAAAAGTATCCCAGTGCCTAACAAACCTGAACCCTTCCCCCCTACACCATCGTCTCATCCACGCATTGAGACTCCTGATCTCTGCCTGTCTCTCCGGCCCTGCGCGTGGAACAGGTAACACTTCTGAGAAGGCTACCTTGGAGGTCCTGGACCTAAGTTTCCTGCCCAGCAGCCTAAATTTCTCCTCCAGGACCTCACGACTGCATTTCCCCACATCGTTGGTGCCGACATGCACCACGACCACTGGCTCCTCCCCAGCACTATCTACCAGCCTATCTAAAACACGCGTAATGTCCGCTACCTTCGCACCAGGCAGGCAAGTCACCATACGGTCAGTACGCGGGTTCGCCACCCAGCTGTCTACCTGCCTAAGGATCGAATCACCCACTACCAAGAGCCCCCCTCCCACCCTGCTCAGGGATGGTTCCTTGGTGCAAAAGGAGAGCCGCTCACCAGCTGGGGAAGAGGTCCCTTCTGAGGGCACATTCCCCTTATCCTCAGCATGGTGCCCTGTTTCCCCTAGACCCTCATGCTCCCTGACAGCAGCGGGGCTGCCAGATCCAGAGTGGGACGAAGCTAACAAGTCCCCGAGAGTCTTTTCTGTGTGCCTAGCTGACTGTCTCTGCTTCTCCAGGTCAGCCACCTTGGCCTCAAGGGAGCACACACGTTCCCTGAGAACCAGGAGCTCCTTGCACCGAGGACACACCCAAGACTTCTGCCCAGTGGGCAGATAGTCATACATGTGACACTCCGTGCAAAACACTGGATAGCCCCCAACCCCCTGCTGGCATTCTGGCTTCATAATTCTTTTAAAATAAATAAATATAATCCCCCTTTTAAACCCTTGGTATTTATGTGGGTTTTGTTATCAAGTCAAATTATTTTACGGGAAAGACAAAGAGCCTAGGGCCTTGTCTTTCTGGCTCTTTTTGGGCTTCTTACAGCGCCCCTAGTCTAAGAGTCCCTAGGCTAAGAGCCACAGGCAAAGAGCCCTTTAGCTCACCCTTCGGCTCGTGCCAGAGGCTCGTGCCTCTGCCAAGGTGCTTCCTTAAATAGAGGCCTCCCCCAGCAGAGGTCAGGCAGCAGCTATTCAAATTCAAATTCACCCAGGCACTCAATCACAGGCAAAACAATGCCCCTTCCACTTCCTCTCAATTACAGGCAATCCCAGTCAAACAATGCCCGTTCCTCTCCCACACTCAATCAGCCAGGACTCTGCAAGAACTCTAAGTGCTTCCACACACTGCTAAACACAGTTTTCCCACAAAATATCCTTAGCTGAATTCTCTCAGCTGAAAGCAAGTAAAAGAAACCCACTCACCTCTCTCACAGCTCTCTCTCCTGCTCCTGCTCAGAGCTCAGCTGGTCTCCTCTGCCTCTGGCAAGGTGCTTCCTTAAATAGAGGCCTCCCCCAGCAGAGGTCAGGCAGCAGCTATTCAAATTCAAATTCACCCAGGCACTCAATCACAGGCAAAACAATGCCCCTTCCACTTCCTCTCAATTACAGGCAATCCCAGTCAAACAATGCCCGTTCCTCTCCCACACTCAATCAGACACTGTTTGCCCAAAGCCAGAGCACTCCCCCAGAGCCTCTTTCTAGATCTCGTTGTATTTATTTCCACAACGGGCTTTACTGCTAGTAATCTTATAAACCTCAATAATGTCACCCCTCAGCCGTCGTTTCTCCAAGCTAAAGAGCCCTAAGCGCTTTAACCTTTCCTCATAGGGAAAGTGTTCCAACCCTTTTATCATTCGAGTTGCCCTTTTCTGCACTTTTTCCAAAGCTATAATATCCTTTTTAAGGTGTGGTGACCAGAACTGCACACAGTATTCCAAATGAGGTCGCACCATTGATGAGAGAGAGAGAGAGAGGGAGAGAGAGGGAGAGAGAGGGAGAGAGGTTGGCAGTTGTCCCTATCGCTATCTATCTCTCATCTTTACTGTCTAGAATGGAGTTCCCTAAACAAATAATTCTTATTAGCTTGAAACTGACAAGTGCCTCTGTGTAACTCTCTGACTGGCTCGCATGCGCAGAACAACAAAATGCTCTGCTGCGTTTAGCCTTTAGTGCACCCTTCTACAATAGATTACAGATTATTGGCTTACCATACCAGTGAATAGATCAAGATGGGTCACTGTGTTAGTCTGTCTGTAGCTGTAGAAAAGAGCAAGAGTCCAGGAGCACCTTAAAAACTAACCAAATATGTGGCAGGGGAGGAGCTTTCGTGAGTCACGCCCAGGGCTTTTTTTGTAGAAAAAGCCCAGCAGGAACTCACTAGCATAATAGGCCACACCCAACAAGCAGACACTCATTAGCATATTAGACCACACCCTTGACAGCACAGCATATTAGCATATTAGGCCACACCCCCATGTTACCAGAAGTGTGGTCATCCAGCCATACCCACCTTTTGCTTCTTATTCTCTTTACCTTGTTTGTTGTCAAAACCCAGGGCCTTTTTTTGTAGCAGGAACTCCTTTGCATGTTAGGCCACACACCCCTAATGTAGCCAATCCTAATACGTTTCTGCTGTTGGGTGCTAATGAGTTCCTGCTGGGTGTGGCCAACTCAGGAGCCAGCCGGAACTCCGTTCCTGTGCGTTCCTGCCCCCAAATAGCCCTGGTCACGCCTCACTTCTTCACATACCAGTGAATCTATCAATCAACCGCTAGGTAAACCTAGGCCATCGCTTCGGGCACCAGACTTCAAGGGGTGCCAAAAAGTGAGAGGAGGTCTTCTTCTGCTGGTTTGAAGGGAAGCTTGGTATGAACTGGCTTCTAGACCCTCCAGATCTTAGTTGACTTTGGTCCTCCATAGCAGCTACGACGGCTCATGGAGGCCTTCCGAAGAGCTTGTTTTTCATTTTGAAGGGCCAGTAAGCAAAACATTTCTTCTAGACTCCTCGCTTTTCTCTCTTTCGAAGGGGGACTGCCAAACACGGTTGGCAGCTCCAGGTTAGGAAATACCAGATTTTTTGGGGGGTGGAGCCTAGGGAGGGCGGGGTTTGGGAAAGGGAGGGGCCTCAGTGGGCCATAAAGCCATACAGCCCACCCTCCAAAGCAGCCATTCCCCTCCCCCAGGGGAACTGATTTCTGTTGACTGCAGATCAGCTGTGATTCTGGGAGATATCCAGGCCCCACCTGGAGATTGGCAAGCCCTAGTGCCAAAGTCGTAGTTTGCCTGGGGTGCCAAAAAAAACCCTTAGACTGGTTCTGGCCACAGCCTGGCCGCTTTCATTTCCACCTCGAACGCTGGGACCCCCAGCCCACCGCCTGCCTCTCTTCCCATCTGTCTTCCGCAGAGTGTTTGCCCGAACCTCGAGGGATGTCCCGAGTACAGTACCAGGCCTGTAGCATCCCGATGGTTGCCTTGTTCCTGCTGTGTATCACCCAGGTGTACGTCTACCGCCTCCGGAGGGTCATCGCCACCTTCTATTTCCCCAAGGTCAGGATGCCAGGCCCACAAGCAGACCCCATCAGGGCTTCCCTGATTACTGTGGGTATCGCCAAAGTGGGTCAGTGTAATGTATTCAATAAGCTGCCATTGCAATACATGAATCATCTAACTGAAGTACAATGTTAAGCTTCGTCCTGGGCTAGGATCCAAATCCATCCAATCGCATTGGTAGCCCCGGAAGAACCAACCAATCACTTGTCAGCAAGCTCCCTGAGCGGGAATGTCCGTGATTGGTCCTTATGCATACAACCTTATTGGTTGGTAAATGTACAGTAGGCGTGGCTACATTAGTCGGGAGAGTTTAAAAGCAGGACAGCTGCAATGTAAAAGCTGTTCTGGCTATCAGATGTTGATCCGTGTTGGAGTTGTGTTCGAGTTGTTGAATAAAGCTAAATCTTTGCTGAATCACTCTCCGACTACTTTGTTAAGCGAGCGACTTAACAGTCAGCCTCTGCTTCTGGGTCAGGCCTTTCTATTTCAGTGTCTATTAGTCACAAGGGATAAAGGGAACACTGTCTGGGGCGGTGATGCTCTGTATTCTAGGGGCTTGGGGGGGCAACAGTGGGAGGGCAGCTGGAGTTCTGGCCCCGCCGGTGGACCTCCTGACGGCACCTGGGTTTGGGCCACTGTGTGGCATAGAGTGTTGGACTGGATGGGCCACTGGCCTGATCCAGCATGGCTTCTCTTATGTTCTTAAGAGCAGAGGTCCATGAGTGGCTGTTAGCCACAAGGTGTAGATGGTACACTCTGTCTGGGGCAGTGATGCTCTGTGTTCTTGGTGCTTGGGGGAGGCAACAGTGGGAGGGCTTCTGGAGTTCTGGCTCTGCTGGTGGACCTCCTGGTGGCACCTGGGTTTTGGCCACTGTGTGACACAGAGCGTCGGATTGGATGGGCCATTGGCCTGATCCAACATGGTTCCCCTTACGTTCTCTTATGTTCTTTTCCCCTGAAGAGTTTCTCAAGTGTGTAACACGTAGAGAAAAACAAATAGAGAGAACTTTCCCTTCATTTCCCATAATCTGAAACCTCGGGCCGTCCGGTTAAATGGATGGGTACTTGGTTTCAGGAGAGATGCTAGGAGGTATTTCTCATTGCAGGGTTTTTAATGGCAGTCATCTTTTAAAGGGGGGGGGAGATTTGGAGTTTGCTATTTTATTTTTGGTTTTCACTGAAAATATCTAAACTATTATTGTAAGCCTCCGTGAACCACAAGAAAAAGACAGGATATCAATATTTTATTAAATAAAGAAATAAAACTGTTAACTTTTGGGACTCCCTGACACATGAGAGAGCCAGCATGGCATAGTAGTTAAAGTGTCGGACTAGGATCTGGGAGACCCAGGTTCAAAAAACCCCTCTGCCATGGAAGCTCGCTGGGGGACCTTGGGCCAGTCACACTCACTCTCAGCCTCACCTACCTCGCAGGGTTGTTGTGAGGATAAAGTGGAGGCGAGGAGAACGATGCAAGCTGCTTTGGGTTCCCGTCGGGGAGAAAAGTGGGGTATAAATGAAGAAAAACGGTCAGTAAATTAAGTTTCAGAGGCCACTGGCTCATCCCCTTCTACAAACACAAAAGAATGAAGGGGAAGAACCATCCACTGCTCAAATGAGAAGGACCACTTGAAGAGATGCTATTTTGAAATGCCCCCAATTCAGTTAAAACCCCTTGCATGCAGAAATCTAGCATATCAGGGAGAAAGGTGCCAGTACTCTATTTCCAGGGTTCGGTTTCTTTTTGATTTACAATGGGGAGGGCGTGTTGTGGCAGGGGAGGCGCTTTCTGAAGAAGTGAGCAGTGACTCACGGAAGCTCACCCCCTGCCACAAATTTGGTCAGTCTTTAAGGTGCTACTGGACTCTTGCTCTTTTGTACAACTTATAGTGACCCCATAGGGTTTTCAAGGAAAGAGCTGAACAGTGGTGGTTTGCCATTGCCCATCTCTGTCTAGAAACTTCGGACTTCCTCGGCAGCCACCCATCCAAGGTCTAACCAGGGCCGACCCTGCTTAGCTTCTGAGGTCTGATGAGATCAGGCTAGCCAAAACACAGTCCATGGAAAGGGTCAGCCCCAGAGGTCATTTCGGGGGGGATCGCAGTTCCCCCGGGTGAGATACGGGGGCGGGGCACATGACGAAGCCCCGCCCCCTGCTTCCGGTCGCCCCGCTTCCGGCCCTCATTCAGCCAGGAGGAGGCAGGAGAAGAGGGAGGGTAAGTTGCTTCCTCCCTGCCTCTCCCCACCCCTGCCTGCCTGGGGCCAGGGAGAGCCTTCGCGGGGCTTCCTTGCACTCCCACCGGCCTTGCAGGTCCACCACCGGGCCCCTCATGGG